AAAAAAAAAAAAAAAAAAAAGTCCAAGCCACAGTCGATGATCGGACGACAGAAGGAGGCACACAACAAGGTTATTATCGCGATTTAATATTAATATTCTAGATGAATCCTACAACAAATCTGGAAAATCTCCCCCTATTTCTCCCCCCGTCCCACCCTGCCCCCGCTGCCCCCCCGCCGTTTTACTCTTTGATTTCTTTCCGGAAGAGCACGCACCCACTCGCCTTTCCTCGTCGGCAGAGATCCCAACGTTTACCCCGATTAAAACACAGTATTAGCATCTAAGAATCTGTCACAGAGCCCGCGTCAAATACGGAATGTGATGTATTGACAAGGGTCTTCGCCACACCACTCGTCAAACGCCAACGTTTTGAATGTATAACAAAGACTATTTGGTTCAGATACATTCCGAATGCTGCCGTTTGGTGAGTGGAGCGGCTACGGGTAGTCCCCACGCGGGTACCTGTCTCTTATACACATCTAGATGTGTATAAGAGACAGGGGTAAGGGAGTGGCGAGAGGGAGGCTTTCGTTTTGACGGATGCCAGGCAAATAGGGGACACCGAATGACTAGGGGGGGGCGGAGGCGGCTAGGGGGTGGGTGGGGAGAGGGACGACGAGACGGAAATCGAGAAGAGAGGGACCGAGAGGAGGACGACACGAGATATGGAGAGTGGGACGGATTCGTCATGACACGTGGCAGGCACTTCGAGATCGGACTGCAGGCAGAAAAAGGTCTGTGGAGAAAAAGCCAGATCCAACAAGTATCACTCTAATTTTTATCTGTGAGTGTATCTCCACAGACATAGCGAGCGAGCGAGCGACCGAGAGAGAGAGAGAGAGAGAGAGAGAGAGAGAGAGAGAGAGAGAGAGAGAGAGAGAGAGAGAGAGAGAGAGAGAAAGATTTTAGGATACGCACGACAGAATTGGCTCGGTCGACATACGGGGAGACAGGCGAGTTGAGGATGATAACGTGTACGCACAGCCGGGCACCCATGTGTGTGTGTGTGTGTGTGTGTGTGTGTGAACCTTTTGAAAGCGTGTTCGAGAGAATGGTGACCACTGATTGTCACTTTCACGTGCGTAAACGTGGCAATACCATGCGCCCCCCCCCAAAAAAATAAAAATAAAAATAAAAAAAATCGAAACTTACCGAAGAAACGATCACGCTTGCCGTGAGGCCTGTTTTGATGCTCCTTCCCGCCGTGTTGAAGAACTCAGAGGTCATTCTCAATCCCACATATCTCTCTTCCAGCCATGTCTGCCAAGAATTATCAACCAGGTACAAAAGAAAAAAAGGAAAAAAAAGAAATAAAAGAAAAAAGGAAAAAAAAGAAGAAAAAGAAAAAAAAGGAAAAAAAAGGAACAAAAA